TTATGCATGCTAGGCAACTGCTCTGCCACTTAAGCCATATCCTAATCCCTTTTGGTTTGGTTTTTACCTTAATTTAAGGTCTGCATATTGCTGCCTGGTTTGGCCTAGAGCTCAAGCTCCTTCAACTTGCAGCTCCTAATCAGCTGGGTTTGCAGGCATGTGTCACCACATCTAGCCAATCACAGGACTTTTCAAGCAGGACTCTCTCTTAACAAGCCTTTCTTTTAAACCTCACTTTTGTCACCCAACAGCAGCCCAGAGTGTTATCATGACATCTGGAAAGGTGGGGGAGGGTACCATGGCCAGCCAAACAAGTAAAACTGTCCCTCCCAACTCCAGCTTGGGAAGGTCACCAAAGCCCCAAAGGAGGCTACCAAAGAAGCATCACTTCCAGCCAGTTTACTTAAGAACAGACATGCAAGAGGAGGATGACTATGACTCACAGGTGTCATACACAGGATGTTAAATACTTCCCAAATCCTCAGTCACCTGAAAGATTACTAATTGACTTAAAGATGATAACTCTAAAAATCACATTGAGTAAGTATATAGTCATTAATTAATGAAATCAACATTAAGTTTCATATTAAGCTCAAAATTAAGCCATTTAAGCCCAAACTGTTCTAGTGTATGTGTGCGTGTGTGTGCGTGTGTGTGTGTGTGTGTGTGTGTGTGTGTGTGTGTGTGTGTGTGTGTGTGTGTGTGTGTGTGTGTGTGTGTGTGTGTGTGTGTGTGTGTGTGTGTGTGTGTGTGTGTGTGTGTGTGTTAGTCCTGGGGCTTGAACTCAAGACACTAGAGTTCTACCACTGGAGTCACAGCTCCACTTGTGGCTTTCTTTTTTTTTTTTCTTTTTGTCAGTCATGAGGCTTGAACTCTGGGCCTGGGCCCTGTCCCTCAGCTCTTCAGCTCAAGGCTAGCGCTCCACCACTTGAGCCACAGCGCCATTTCCAGTTTTCTGGTGGTTTATTGGAGATAAGAGTCTCACGGACTTTCCTGCCTGGGCTGGCTTTGAACCATGATCCTCAGAACTCAGCCTCCTGAGAAGCTAGGATTACAGGTGTGAGCCACCAGCACCCGGCTAAATTATAGCTTTTTGATGGTTAGAGTCTCATGGACTTGCCACCAGCACCGGCTAATTTGTAGCTTTTTGATGGTTAGAGTATCATGGACTTCCTGCTCAGGCCAGCTTTGAACTACAATCCTCAGATCTAGTCTTCTGAGTAACTATGAATACAAGCATGAGCCACTGGCACCCCACTTTGTATAGACACTTTTAATAGTATATTTTGACACGGGCTGGGAAGTTGGCTCAGAGGTAGAGCACTTGCCTTGCATGCATGAGGCCCTGGGTTCGATTCCTCAGCACCATATAAGCAAAAAGAAAAAAGCCAGAAGTGGCGTTGTGGCTCAAGTGGTAGAGCGCTAGCCTTGAGCTGAAGAGCTGAGGGACAGTGCTCAGGCCCAGAGTTCAGGTCCCACAACTGGACCAAAAAAAAAAAAAAAAAAGATATTTTGACACAAATATTCCTAAGTATTGTTTCATATCAGAAACTGGATCTAATGTTGTCCAATGGTAGGACATCCCTGGGAGCAGCAAGCATGACAGTACCCCAGAGGAAAGGTCACAGCCTGTCTTTTTTAAAACCCATGAAAATTAACTCCAAATCAAAGCTGAGTCTAATATCTTTCCATTTTCCTCCTACCCAAGCATATTGTGAAGCTCAAAACAACCCGAACAAGTTATCAAAAAGCTGCCTGTGAATGCCAAACAAAAGATACTCTATATCATTTGCCTACAAATGCTAAAAATGTAATCCATTGCAATTATGCAGCTGCCTCCATGCCATTGTGTTTTGTCATAGGTATTTCTGAATGATGCAGTCTAAGCAAAAAAAAAAAAAAAAAAAAGCTCATTTTTCCTAGTTAAATGTAATGTTTTGGTGATTGTCTAATGCTACGGCTTGAATGTATCCCCAAAAAGTTTATGTGTTGGAAACAACCCTCAAATTCTTATGTGCATTGTATTTGGATGCAAAAGTTTTAGAAAGTAACTAAGATTAGGTCATAGGATGGGACATGTCCAGGAGGGCGTTGATGAGTCTACAAGGAAGAGAGACCCACACTAGCAGGCCTGCTCTGTCTCAACTGGGGTACCCTCCACCATATTATAGTAAAGCAAGAAGGCCCTCAGCTGGTACATGGTGCCACCATGCTCTTAGAATGCCTAGATTCCAGAACTGTGAGCCAAACAAACTATTACTCTTTATAAATGACCTCATCTCTAGGATTTTGCTGTAGCAACAGAAAACAGGTTAGGACACATATCTACCACATGTCTCAAACATGTTTATAATAAATAGCCTTTAATATCCATTCTTCCTTTTGCAACGAAGTATCTCCCTATGTGGCTAGGCTTCCCAGCCAGCGTGTCCAGGTCCATCCCTCACTACCCCAACTCCCACTGTGGAGCTTCTGGAGTACTTGGCTACTCTAACCATTTGGAAAGCACAACCCTGCAGTAATGCCTAAACTGACAGCCAAAAACCCAGAAGTCTGAGGACACAGATATAAGAAAGTGCAATCAGAATTCACTATCCAAAGGAAGAAAAGCCACAGAACCTTCTGGCATTTATATTTCCTATGTTTTAAAGCACAGGGCCAACACAGGCAATCTTCAAAGCCCCCAGTCACAAGCTCAGCACTTCCTAGGAATACAAGCAGTGCCTACCTTTCTAAGATTATACTAGTATTACAAGCATCATACCTACAAGCTACAATACATAAGACTTCACAGATTAGAGACATGCCTCATGAATCACTTTCATCACAAAATCTACACACCTATCATAGCTGTGGGCCTCTACAAAGGTACAGATAGCTGCCTTTGAGTGATCATGCTGCTATAAAATGAATAAGAGACTACTGAACCACCAACCTCACTTGATATTCATTTTGAAGGATTTTTTTCTTATGCCAAAACCCAAAGCAATTAACATTCTATAGACCAACACCTTCATATTGCTTCCTAGATCTTTTAAAAAGATGTGGGACTCAAGGCCATCATGCTTACAGACTTACTGCCTCTAGTTCATAAGAGCAAGCATCTATTTTTTGCACTCCATGTGAAGAAGAAAGGCACCCACAAGCAGAGAGCCACAACTGCATTTTTCACATCTAGGATTCTGAAAAAAAAGAAAAAGACACTTCGACAGAAAATAGATTTGGAGGCTTAATAGACTGGTGCTGAATAAGTACTCTGTTCCAACGTGTTATCCTAAGAGTAGTAATACCAATTTCTAAGAGAGTAAAAAGTCAATAGACGTTAAGTACCATCAATACAAATATAGTATTTTCTTATATTTAGGTGAAATAAAGGCACATAGTTTACTGTTTAAAGTATAAAATATATGAAGAACTCAACAAAAGGCATGCATAAAAACGCATTTTAAAAAGTTACTTGGATACTTCTAATTCAGGAATCAAGGTGGATTGGGTATCTTCAAACCTCACTCTAAAATCTAGAATATTATTTTATTTTAAAGAATTTTTTTAATGCAACGTTTAGCTCCAGGTACAAAAACAAATCCAGGACCAATGCAGTGACTGGCCAGCAAAGAGCCCTGAGGAACTGGCAAGGAAGAGGGCTGGCACTGCCCTGGAGACAACCACAATCACAGCAGAGCAGGGGCATCTTCACCTCCAGCTGTCAGCAAGCTACAAAAGCTCCACCTGAAACCAGGACTCTAAAGGAAACAAACAGCTATCCTGGCTCGGTAATGTGGTCCTTTGGGTCCTAGGTTCTAGCAAACACAAATTTCATGACATAATACCTCACGGGCCTAAGATATAATTATCAAATAAATTTTTTAATGGTAGACAGAATCTTGCTATGTTTCCCAGGTTGATCTAGAGCTGTAGGCTCAGGCGATCCTTCTGCCTCTCCTCCTCCAGTAGCTGGGTCTGCAGGCACCCCACACCCCACAACCAGATCACTATCAGCAAAGCATACACACTCAACATGCACATACAACATACAAACAAAGATTTGGACCACCAAGGATCTCACATCCCAGTATTATAACAAAGAAGATACGATATAACTATTACAGTTTAAAATTACAAGCAGTGGAGTAAAAAAAGGAACCAAGCAGCAATTTCAAAAAGTATTCAGAAAGATTTGAAACAGAAATAGACAATTTATAAACAGGAAAATAAAGATACAAGCATTAAAACTAAATGTGCAAGCCCCATGCTGGTGGCTCATGCCTGTAATCCTAACTACTCAGAGGCTGAGATCTGAGGATCTCAAAGCCAGCCTGGACAGGAAAGTCAATGAGACTCTTATCTCCAACAAAACTCAGAAACGGCCAGAAGTAGAGCCTTAAGCAAAAGAAACTCAGAGACAGTACCCATGCCCTGAGTTCAAGGGCCAGGTCCAGCACAAAAAAGCAATTACGATTTGCTAGAATAGCATTTGACAATGACACTCAAAACACTATTTAGTTCATGCAGCTGGCTTTTCTGCTCCAAGTCAAGGTCTTTCTCTCATTTCACTGGCACTTTGAAAGTGGCACTGGCTTAGACTGCTCAACTCCAAAGGCAGCAGAAGACCTGGCAACTATAATATAATCTTCCCAGGTTAAAGACCCTAATCAAAGCAAGTCCACATTAAAGGAAGAGGTGGGTCTGGGCCTCAAAGGATTCTCCTGGGACTTCTTATAACCTTTCCTGTGGGTTTTATATGACTCAGGCTAATGCAAACTTCCTGTGTCCTTTCCTGCCTGGTCTACACTGTTTGTCTCTTGAATGGGGGGGAGGGGGCGTACCTCTTCAAGCCTTTTTCCAGCCCACCTCAAACCTTAATGGCCTTTCCTTGGCTGATTTTGCTTCTACCAAATCAGGATCTAACATACAATCTCAGAACAAACCAGGAGCAATTACAATGAACTTCAGATTCATGAGTTCTTCCAGAATGGGGTGAAAATAAGAATTTGACTTACCAGTGTAAAACCCTCTGCTGTGCTCCAACCAAAGTCACTCCTCTTGAAAATCAGAAAGGCCACAACTCCTTCACTAAAGTTTTACCTGGAATAATAAAGGCAGGAAATGAGAGAGGAGGCAGCCAGCAAAGGCCAGAGTCCACTGGGGAAATTTCATTTAATCAATCAAGTAAACACCTGACCAGTAAGGGAGACAAAGTGCCACCAAAATTATGAGATATTTTGTCTAAGGCCATTTTTCTAATTTAGCCAAAGCAACTCCTATTAAGTTCATATTTGTAGAAAAGATTACTGTTGTTTACAAAGAGCTTTCACAAGCAGTTTCTCCTTGAAACCTTAAGATCTTGAGAGCAGATAAGCATTAGTTTTGTTGTTGTTTGTTTGTCTTTAGACAAGTATTAGTTTTAAATAAAGGAGCAGCTTAAGTTTCCAAAGATTAGGGAATATTTCCAAGACCATTCAGCTAACAATACCAAAGAGAAATTAGAACCAAACTCTATGGCTTCTCCTTCTAATCTTTCCCAAGACATGAAAATAACACTATGGCTTCATCCACCTTAAACAGCAACATTATTTCTTACTTCACTACATATGCTTTCTGTCAACAGAGAAGTAGCTTTGTCTAGTGAAAGAAAATTATCAAAAAGTTTACATGGCATAGACAACCCAAATAGTTGAAAATCTATACCAAGGTAGTTAGCCAGTCACTGTTATCTTCACACATATCTTCCTTAACATTCGGTTGGTTGGATGTTGTATTGTGTCAGTACTTGAACTCAGGGTCTAAGTGCTATTCCTTAGCTTTTTCACTCAACTGGCACTTTACCACTTGAGCCACAGCTCCACTTCTGATTTTTAGCTGCTTAACTAGAAATAGTGTTATGGACTTTCCTTAATGGCTGGCTTCTAACTGCAATCCTCAGACTTCAGCCCTGAGTAGCTAGATTACAGGTGTGCGCCTATAAGCACCAGGCTAGCCTCCTTGTTTCAAGTCACAGTTTTATTGCTACTCTTTTATATTTCTTTTAAAATAAGTTCAAATTGGCAGAAAACTTGTAAAATAATAAACATACAAAGAATAGGTACACTTGACCTAGATGTCGCTTCTATCAACATACAGTATAACTCTTTTACTTAATGATTCATTTAACTCACACACTCAACTGTTTTTTTTCCTCAGCTACTGGAGATACATTTCATGTATCCATGCCCTTTACCCCTAAACACTCCAGAATTTGTTTCCTAAGAATATACCGTTACATAACCACAATGTAATTATCAATCTTAGTAAATTCAGCATTGTTTAACACTTCTACCAAATGTCATAATCAATTAGCCTAATCTAACTATTGTTTTGCCCCACCTCAGGTTCCAGTCCAAGGAGAGTTCATGCATTTAGCTGACATTTCTCTCCATCTTTTTTTAACCTAAGATAGGTCATGCTTCTTTGCCTTTTATTACACTGACACTTCAGAGGAATATGACCTCTTCCCTTTATATATTAACAGAACATTTCTTTTTGATTTGTCTGACATTTCCTTGGGTGATTCCTGATAACTCAGTTTAGGTTATACATTCTCAGCCAGAATCTACAGACATGATATAGTTCTCTGAATATCATATCTGAGGGCATGTAAAATCTGTTTTGATTCTAGCCAAAGTAATGTCCAATTTCTCCAATAAAAAAATACCATATTGGGGCTGGGAAGGTGGCTCAGTGGTAGAGCGCTTGCCTTGCATGCATGAGGCCCTGGGTTCAAGTCCTCAGCACCACATAAGAAAAAAGCCGGAAGTGGCGCTGTGGCTCAAGTGGTAGAGCGCTAGCCTTGATTTGAAGAGCTGAGGGACAGTGCCCAGGCCCAGAGTTCAAGCCCCACGACCAGACCCAATATATATATATATATATATATATATATATATATATATATATATATATATATTTTTTTTTTTTTCTTTGCAGTGAATAGGCAATCCGTGGGAAGACACTTTATTTATTTTTTTTTTGGTCGGTCGTGGGGCTTGAACTCTGGGCTTGGGCACTGTCCCTCAGCTCTTCAGCTCAAGGCAAGTGCTCTACCACTTGAGGCACAGTGCCACTTCTGGTTTTCTGGTGGTTAATTGGAGGTAAGAATCTCACGGACTTTCCTGCCTGGGCTGGCTTTGAACCGTGATCCTCAGATCTCAGCCTCCTGAGTAGCTAGGATTATAGGCGTGAGCCATCGGTGCCTGGCTTGTGGGGAGATACTTCAAAGTGACACAAAAAATCTTGTTCCACACATCAGAACTTCCCCTTATGTAATGCCAGTACTTGGAAGGTCACAAGTTCAAAGCTAGCCTATGTTACACAGAAAATTCCAGGGCAACTTGGGCTCCATAGTGAGATCCTACATAAAATGGGAGGAAGGGAGGAAGAAAGGAGAGGAGAACTGCCGCTAGATTTAGCATCTATTAGTAATGTTTGCTTAAACTTTATATACTATGATGGTTATAATATGCTGACTCCAACATCCACTCCCCCATAGTACTCACAATTTGACATTCCATATCTTTTATTCATCTATTTACCTAATTACATGTAGTGCCAATACCTTACTTTCCTAATGATTTATAATTTATCCCTATATTTATTTTGGTACTCAGACTGTTTCAGATTTAGCCAGCAGGAACACTTCCAAGTCATCCTCCATGTTTATGTACAGTGGACCATTGTATTTTTTTAATATTTCTTAGATTTTCTTTCTGACATTCAAAAAACAATGTTTTAGGCTCATCTAATTACCTGCTCTGTTTCTGCCCTAGATGAAGTCATGTCTCCAAAAAGCCCTGGCTCCCCTCAGTGAGGGGATTCAGTGACCGTTTTACACTTACTATTTTTAATAATTGCTTCTCATCATGAATATGGGTCACATTTTCTGCTTCTTTGCATGTTTCTTTTGTCAGCAGATAATTAGAGGGTCTCAGTTTGGTCTTGGTGATAGCTAAATTACTAGAGGATCTTCTTGGTCCTGCAGAGTTGGTTCTACACTCGGTTAAAATGGGCCCATTCTGATTATGTCCTTAGCTTTAGTCTAGCAGGAAGTCTATTTAGATATGGTCCTTACTCCTAGGATGTGTGGCCTTTCCCATCCCTCCCAGTAAATCATGACCTCTGGCCTTTCCATTCTGTTCTATTCTAGCAACTGCTCTGCTTTACCATGTATAGGTCTCAGTGCTGGACTAGCTTCCTCTCTCCCCTATCCAGCCCTGAATACCAAGATCTGCCTTCTCAATGCCATGAGGAAATATGCTCTGCCAGAACTGACCTTCCCATACCTTGGCAGGGATAAGTCCAAACAAAAGCCAAGTACCTTTCATGTGATTCTTTTCTCAAGGATCACAATCCTGGCTGCCTGTTGCCCACTGCCAGTAGCCTCACAGATAGATGGCTTTTCTTTCAACTGTTTAAAATAAGAAGGCAAGACCAGATCTAATTACCTTTCTTTTTGTCTTCATGCTTCCAACATTATGGCTATTCTGACAAAGGTGAAGGATTAATGCCTTTCAGCTTATTTTAATAAACACTACTTAAGTACTTCAAAGAAAACCCAATCTAACAAGTGGTTTCTGCAACACTGTGACATCAAAATGCTCTCTAGGAGTAAGACAATTCAAGAAATGAGTAAGACAATTCAAGAAATGATGACAGGGAATGCCGATTTTCCTTCCAGAAAGCTGACAGTCACTTCAGATGGGTGGTGGGCTAACACTGCGGCATACATTTCCATTTGCATGGCTTCACAGGGCCGCACAAAGCACCATGCTCATTCAAAGCTGCGCTTCATTTTCTTGTTTCTGTGCATGGACTTGGGGATGAGGAGAAGACTCCTTTTCATCCTCATTTTCTATTTTTACTTGTAACCACCACCCCACAGAAAACAATTTAAAACAAAACTCAAAGAGAAAACTCACAATCCCCTGTCCCCGCAAAAAAATTATATTTTCATCAGATTCTGTGAGAAAACAGGAACTTGCAAAATGGAGAACAGGTCTTTCCCTGAAAAGGGTAGATTTATGCCCACTACATGTATGTATACACAGAAACACACACACACACACACACACACACACACAGGACTCCCTCTGCAGATATCTTCTACTTCTTTTTGTTCTCCCTATTAGAAATCCACACTGCAGCCCATCTAGTTCAATTCTCAAAAGCTATTAAAGTATAAGAGTTTTGCTTTCCTTTGGTTTTACATCAGGTATTCTAGAACTTGGAAGTGAGCATCTGATGGAAACAGTACTGACCTACCCATGTATCCTCCTCCACCCTGGCACTTCCCATTTCTAGGACTCTGCAAACAGTCCTCTCAAGGTCTTGTGGGTTTCCTGTGGACCCTGTGGTATTGTTTCCACAAGTCATCAAGTGGCAGCACTATAAAGCAAATCTTCTGTGGGTCACCATGTCCCAGGAATTCAGTAGGAACCTCTGGACTGATAAACAACACCCTCAGCATATGTGTTCTCTGCCCACTTTTCTATTCTACCTCCCCATGCTGCACACATTAAAAACTACTCATGAAAATCTGTTGTAATTTCATGCCCATACCCTTTCTTCTGAGACAAATTCTCTCCCCCACTTTTGATTTACTAAATGGGCTTCTGTAATCACCACCTGAAACTGGGTCTATGACCTACCTCGTCACTCTTATATCTATAATTAATAAAATAAATAACTGTACTGAGCACTTTCAATGTGCTAAACATAGATGAGAACTAGCATCCATTCTCTCAATCTCCCAAAAACTCTATGAAGTAGGTGCTATTTCTAAAAACTCTATTTAGTAGGTGCTATTTCTATCAGCTAACTAAAGATAAACACATAAGTAGAGAGACCACAGAGTCTCAATCTCATACAACTGGGAAGTGCAGAGATAAAGATTTGATGGGAAAGTTATTATAAACAGAAATAAATATATTTAGTTATAAAACTAACAGCATAATGGGGGATACAAGGAAGACCCAGAATGTCCATGGTGACACCAGAATAATACTAAATAAAGCATAAGAATAAAATGTAGCTTATCATAAATGGATCCCATAACT